GCCAGGGTGCGACGGGCAGATTGCCGTCCTGGTCGCGGGCATACCCGAACATGCGCCATCTTCCCCCGAGGGCCTGATCCGACACCCTGAATCGCGCTGTGAGGTGAATGCGGTCGCGGCCGTCGGCTTCCCAGGCCGTCTCTGTGCCGTCGACGTACAGGCCCTCGATCTCCGTGAGGTCCGTCCAATCCGCTGAACCCTCTTCCTCCCTCGAGTACACGGACCCGCTGGCACCTCGAATGAAGTAGCTGTCGCCGGCTGAGAACTCCTCCAGAGCGATGCGATCGCCGGTGGCGGAGGCGAGCGCCCGGAGCTGATGAGCTGGACGCCGATCTCGGCGATGTCATTCGCTCCCTGAGGGTCGACGGCCAGCGCGTGCAGGTCGTACCAGGTGTTGGTCTCGAGGGTATCGACACGCTCCTCTGCGCCGGGCAGGGTGACATACATGTGTCCGACGAAAGGACTGGGGCTCGAGTCCGGGAAGGGATGGCGGGGCGCAGAACTCAGGGCGCTGTTGTACTTGAAGAGCCGGCCGTCGACGAACAGGTTGTAGGCCACGAACTTAGTCTCCCCCTCGTAGTCGTAGTCGTCCACCCACAGCAGCCGGCGCCACGGATCCGTGGCGTTCACGTTGTCCCCTATGTAGATGTTGTGGAGCACGGCTTCGGCGATGTGATTGCCGTTGTGCGTTGGATTGCCGAAGTCCAGCATCCGGGAGTACCCGCCGACCGAGTAGTCTCCGCAGCCGGGATCGAAGTAGTTCCCGGTGATCTCCAGGCTGCCGCTCTTGAAGGCCATGGGCCGGGTGCGCTCGAAGATGTTGTCGCGGACCACGGCTCGAATCGCGTACCCGCCCTGGGGATGGGTATCGACGCAGGCCTGCCATTGAACTAGGTCGTTGTCGTGGAAGTAGTTGTTCTCCACGGTGAACCGGGTCTGCGGGCTGTTGGAGGCAATGGAATGGCGGTTGAAGGTGAATTCGTTGCGCGATATGGCGACCTCGGAACCGCCGGTGGCCATGGTCGTCCCCGTAATGCTGATCCCATAGCCGAAGCCATTGCGATAGTTCTCGTGCAGGTAGCTTCCGGTGACCACGCCCCCGCGGGAGTTCATGAAGTCGATGCCCTTGCGGAAGCGGGTGATCTCGCAGTTGCCGATCTCGAGCTGGTCGTGCCCGACAACGGCGATGCCGTCTCCGGTTCCCGCCTCGTGGGTAATGGCCCCCACGAGCTTGAGGCTTTCGAAGGTCACGGCGTCGCTCGCCACGTGGAACAGGTCGAGGTCGCTGTCTTCGGTGTAGCACACGGAGGGAGGGGAGTCCCAGTACGGCGGGTCATTCGGCTCTCCCGGCTCGACCTCGCCCACATCCACGAGTTCGGCCGCGCCGAGAAGGGTGATGCTCCTGTCGATGACGACCGTCTCGGTGAACAGGTACTCTCCCCTTGGAAACACCAGTGTGTCCCCTGCGGAGGCTTTGGACACGGCCTCCTGAATCGCCGCGCTGGTGAAGCCCTCCACCTGCAGGCCCTGGGCGGGAGCCACGAGGGCTGGCAGAAGAGCCACTAGCCACGCACGGACGGCGGCTGTCTTTGCCCTGGTCTTCTCGTTCCTCGTCTCCATCGCTCGCCATACCTTCCCTGAAAGCCCGTTGTAGGAATGTCGCATATGGCCCTTATTAGGCCAATATAAGAAGCCGGGCCGCGCTGGCACGCCCGGAAGACCAGTGGGGGTATTGAGAAACAACTGATGAAGGACTGAACGAAGATGGCGCAGCAAAAAAAGAAAAGCGCGAAAAAGAAAGAGCCTATCGATCCTTTCTCAAAACTCACTTGGGAAGACCTAGAGGAATGGGCGGGCAACGTCATCGTCGGACGAGGACGCCCCTATCAGAGAAACGGAGCCGTTGGGGACTTGGAGCGCACCAAGAACGGGACGTTGGTAGCTTGGGTGATGGGAACGCGGCGCTATGCCACCCAAGTGCGCTTTACGGAGCGGAACGGTCTGGAATCCGCCTGCACCTGTCCCTATTGGGATACCTGCAAGCACGCGGTGGCTGTGGTACTGGAATACTTGGAAGGCCTCAAGACCGATAGCGCTATTGGGGAAATTGAGGAGGACGATCCGCGCTTGTTGAAACTAGAAGCGATGGAGGACGAGTACGACGAGTACGAGGAATTCGCTGAGGAAGAGGAGGAAGAAAACGTCGAGGTGCGTTCCGAGCGTTCAAAGCCCAAGAAATCCAAGACGGCTTCCCTACGTCCGTACCTCCAAGAGCAGACCAAAGCTGAACTCGTAGCGCTGGTGATTGAACTCGCAGACATGCACGATGAGGTGCGCCAATTACTCGCAGACCGCCGCACTTTGGCCTCGGGGCAGACGCACAAAATTCTCCAGACGATCCGCCGCGAGATCCGCGACTTAGCAGAGCCGACATGGGGCGACTACGACTACGCTCCCCCTGCGATTAATACGGATCGCCTCAAGGCGGCCCTCAAAGGGCTGATAGAAGCCGGACAGGCCGACGCAGCCGTGCGACTGGGACCGGAGCTGCTGGTCGCGAGCAGCCGGGCACTTGAGCACGATCACGAAGGCGAATCCGACGCAGCGTTCGCCGACTGCCTCGATGTCCTTTTTCAGGCCCTAGATACGGCTTCCCTGTCGCCAGCGGACCAGATAGAATGGGCCATAGATATGGAGCAGGCCGACGGGTACAGCCTGTGCGCCGCTGGCTTGGCCCACCTCTGGAAAAGGCCCTACGCCAAAAGCGATTGGTCCGCGGTGTGCGACCGGCTAGCGCAGCGTCTCGAAGCCATTGAGCCCCATGCGGAAGAGGACGCCTTTTTGCCTAACTTCAAACGGAGCCAAATGGCCGACTGGTTGATTCGCGCCTTGGAAAAGGCCGGTCGCCAAGACGAGGTCATCCCGCTGTGCGAGCGCGAAGCGCCCATCACCCACAGCTATGCTCACTTGGTGGATCTCCTGATGGCCAAACGCCGCTGGGAAGAGGCCCGGCGCTGGTGCCATCAGGGGATTGAGGCGGTTTCCGCCAAGTATCCGGGCATTGGAGCGGCCCTGCGCGAGCGGTTGCAGACGATTAACCAGCGAAGTGGCGATCCGCTCGCTGGGTTGGCCATTCAGGCCGAGGAGTTTTTTGTTGCGCCTGGTCTGGCCGGTTTTCAGGATTTGTGCAAAGCCGCTCGCAAGGTGCGCCTCGGCAAGGGCGTCGATGCTTGGGCGCGGCACTATCTGGAAACGGGTCGGCGGCCCGGTGTCGGTCGGAAACGCAAGAGTGATCCGAAGGTAGCTTGGCCCTTGCCGGCCTCTGAAGTCGAGGTGCGTACTTATCACCAAGCAGCGGAGGCACCTATGACCGGGATACTAATTCAGTTGGCTATTGCCGAGAAGAAGCCGGACGAGGTGCTCAAATGGTACGACTATGCCAGCCGCAAAAAGGGTGGGTTGGGGATGTATGACTTCCTCGTCAACCCCATCGAGGTGGCCGAGGCCATCAAGTCGGCCCACCCGGAGCGGGCGATAGCCATTTGGAAGGAAGCCGCGGAAAGCCAGATCGCCCAGGTGCAGGTGAGTGGGTACGAGGCCGCGGTTCCCTCTTTGCGAAACATGAAAAATGCGCTCACGCGAGCCGGTCGCAAGCAAGAATGGGAAGCGTATCTGGCTTCCTTGCGAGAGCAGAACAAGCGTCGGCCGCGGTGTCTGGAGGTGCTGAGCCGGCTGGAGGGAGGACGCCGGCGAATTATCGACACTTAGAGATTTCGCTGCGACATTTCGTTGTATAAGAGGCCCTCTGAACATTCCGGGTGCCGTTCCTATCGCGACGCAATGCGATCCAAGGTGGGTTTTCAGAAGGCTGCTAAGCAGCCTTCGGACGGCTAAACCCGTTGCAGTTCCATTGGTAACTTTTGCGGAGGATTGTCTATGTCCACTACCTATTGCCCCCACTGCCGCCGCGTCACCAACACGCGCATTGTCCTTGAGCCGCCGCGCCGCACGCCCAAAGGGAAGGAACCAGCCCTGCGGGTCATTCATTGTACCCTTTGCAATGGTTTCATTCGCAGCGAGGAAGTGCCCCGCGCCGAAGAGAAGGATAGCGTACAGTAGCTAGCGGCGGATGAACGAGACCTGACCATAGGAGGTTGTTATGATACCAGTCTACGCCCTGTTTTTTTCTTCATAGATTTTTTCCTGCTTCTTTTCTCTCCTTTTTTGGGCCCGTATCTCGGATGGAGAGTAGAGATACCAGCCTATTTCGTCCCGTTTCCCGCCCTGTTTCTCGCCTTGTTTCCCGCCCTGTATTTCGGATGGATCGAAGAAAAGAATCGCGAACGTCTGGAACAGCTAGCCGATCGGCTGCGCCGAGCTCTACAAGCGCGCTGGTCGGCCGGCCTGCGGGTACGCCGTCCCAGACGACTCCACTTTGAGACGCATCAGGCCCTCCGAGAATTGGAAAAGAGCCTCAAGACCTTGGAGCGGTACCACCAAATCCATAGCCGTCGGCTGCGCTCTCCCCGGATGTTCATCGACGACCCCAAGCCCGTCCTCGACAATATGGATCAGCGCCTCTCGCGGCTGGAAGGGATCGACGTCAAATAAAGGAACCGAGCCGTGCTGGCTCCGTTGTCGGTCAAGGGGCCAATATGAACCAGAAATCGAACTTGCCCATTCTCTTGACGGGCGCAACCGGCTACATTGGCGGGCGACTGTTGCGCGTGTTGGAAAGTGCCGGGACGTGCGTGGCTGGAGTTTGAAGTGGAAGGGGACGAACAATCCTCGACGATCCGCCAAACGGCGATTTTCGATCCGGTTGGGTTGTTCGGGTTGGTGTACTGGTATGCTGTCTATCCGCTGCACCAGCTCGTATTTGACGGGATGCTTAGGGGGATTATCGATGCGTGTCAACGGGAGCCTGTGGAGGAACGTGGGGCGTGACGCTGTTGTAGCGAAGGTCTGCGAAGGGAAAGCGACGGTGAGGAGAATTCTTTATGATGACGAAAATCAACCAAACGTCCCTCGTGCTAATACGCGGGGATATTACACGGGAACAAGTCGATGCGATCGCCAACGCTGCCAACGAGCGACTCATGGGCGGCGGTGGCGTCGATGGTGCCATTCACCGCGCTGGGGGACCAGCCATCGCGGCGGAATGCAGCGCCATCCGCGCCAAGCAGGGTGGTTGTCCAACGGGCCAAGCCGTAATCACGACGGGGGGCAATCTTCCCGCGAAGCACGTCATCCACACTGTGGGGCCGATCTGGCGGGGCGGAACTGCTGGTGAGGCCGAACTTCTTGCTAGCTGTTATCGGGAAAGTTTAAGGCTTGCAGTGGAGCACGGCATCAAGACGATTGCCTTCCCATCCATCAGCACCGGCGTGTACGGTTATCCGGTCGCGCAAGCCGCGGTCATCGCGCTCAACGCGATAAGGCAGTTCCTCAAAGCACACGATGGTCTCGATGAGGTGCGTTTCGTCCTCTTCGACGATGCGACATACGGCGCTTACGAGAATGCCCTTTTGGACATGGGAGTGTAACGCATTTATACTGACCGACTCAGGAAGGTGTTTTGAAGGTAAAGGAGAGGTACTCGTCGCCGATGCTAAAAGCTCTCTCGGATCTACTGAGTGTGGGAAGTACAGATGTGGCAGCCGCAACTGGAACCAGTGAAGTGCCGGACTCCCACCACCGCACCGTCCTTGCGGTCAGCTCGCTCGAACACTAATTGGAACAGGTCGTCTTCTTGATTCTCTAAGTAACGACGAAGCGCATATGAACATATGTCAGCGAGTTGCACCATACTCGTGAGCTGGCTATCGACGAATAGAGGTGTTTCGATAATATTCTCTACGGCAGTCCAGCGCGTCCCCTTATGATGGAATCCACGCATGAGATCAGTATGGCGCTTGGCCACCGTCTGGTTATTGTCGTGTATCAACAGTCCATAGTTCTTTTGACTGGTTCCTGTGACTTGTAAGTACTGTTCAAACCGTGAGACAACCTGATCGAAAGCCATTTCTCCAATGTTGTACGGAGTATGCTTTCGTGGATCGAAGTGAACCTTGTCAACACATTCGGCGAACAAGCGCACAAAACCCCACTGCGATAACGTCTTAGCCGCTTCGGAGATGAACTTTCTTCGCTCATCCTCGGTTAGGTGTATGTACGGAGCGGTTTTGCTGTAATTCTTCTTTGCCTGTCGATATTGAGTCCCCGATGTTCTCTGTAGGCGCAGCAGTTCCGCATTGCGAAATTTTTCAACCTCGGCTCGCCGGTCCTCGTGCCTCAGTTCCGCGAAGTCTTTTATCTTGGTTTGCTCCAGATACCGGCGAAGCATCCATGCACAGTGAATCTCTTCATCGTCGAGGAAGTGATTCCGCTTTAGTTGCGCTATTTCCCTGTCGCATGTCTTCCAGTGCCAGACAGGAATCGATAGTCCAACTAGGATGAAATGAGAAGTGTTGCCCGGAAGGTCTGGCGTACCGGATTCATCCATATAGCACAGGTACATAGATTCTCATTAAGGCATTGTTTACACGGGAGTTAGGGACATAACAGTACATAAAAAAAGCGTCTGGGGTTCAGGCTGAAAGCCTAAAGGCGAGACGCTTGGCGACTCATCCCAGACGCATCTATAGCGTACTCTTATTATCGGGAAATGTCAACTAAAATAATGGCGACAGCTAGCTCGTCGGGCGGACGCGAGGACCATTCAGCAATCGGCCCAGCCAAGTGTAGCGGACGAGAAATTGGTAGATCAGCAATAGAAGGCCGGTGACTGCGAGAAAAACCAGGAAGTACTTTGCCCCTGAAGAAAGCGGCCAGTCGCGCACGGCCAATTGAGCGCCGATGATCAACGGCAGGTGCGCCACGTACAGCCAGTACGACGAATCCGACACGTAGCGAATGGTTTTGTTTTCGCGGACGCAGAGTTTGCGGAACAAGCCGATGAACCCAAAGGTCATCATCCAAGCGTAGATCGCCTGCAACGCCACTGCCGCGGTCCGGGCCATGGCCGGGTCGAGGATCTCTTGGCGAAATCCGAATGCACCTGTTGAAAATTCGAGCCCGAACGGGAAGACGATGAACAGCCCCAAGGGAAGCGTCAGCCACCACCATTTCCCGACCCGGCCGTCTGGGTCGTCGCAGTCGAAATACAGAGCGCCAAAAAAGAAAAAGAGGGCGTAGTAAAGGAATATGTGCGGCATGGGCAGAAGGCCCAAGGAGGTGTCCGGTCCAAAACCGGGCATGACCAGTCCCATGAGCGACTGCGGGATCACGGTCAGAGGGATCAAATAGAGCAATCGAACGGGAGAAAGAACCAGCCACTTGGGCGGCCCCTGCCATTGCAGCCAATCAGCGAGGCGGGCGTAGAGTGCGAAGACGAGGACCAACCACCAGAGGAACCACAAGAACCAAAGGTGGTGAAAAACCGGCACGGCAAAGATCGGCGATGCCATCGCTTTGAGGAACCCGGTCGATTTCTCCTTTGTCTTGTCGGTTTTTTCCCGACTTTCGCCAACGGCGGATTGTTCGAAAAGTCCGGCGATTTCAACGCGGCCGTCCTTGACTTGTCGTGCATCGAGTTCAATCTGCAACAAGCCCGCCAAATATCGAGTCAGTTCCCAGTCCACCTCCAAGGCCGCCCGAGGCGTATCGCCGTTGTTGTTTTTTGCCTCGATATCCGCCCCGTGCTGAAGCAGCAGCTTGGCGACTTCCACTCGTCCCAAGAAAGCGGCCGCGTGCAAGGGCGTTCCGCCGTCCTTGGTGCGGCCATTGACCGCGGCCCCGTTTTGCAGCAGCCAATCGACGGCTTCAAGCTGGCCGAGCAGCGCGGCCCATACTAGGGGAGTTTGCCCGGATGCTGGATCGATCCCATTGATATCGGCTCCGTCTTGCACGTGACGTTCAATCGCGGCGAGGTCCCCGTTCTTGGCTGCGTTCCAGATAGTGTCTTCCGCAGCCTTGGCCGCGTTGGCTTCTAATGCAGATGCAATGGCCCAGCCGCTGATCCAGTTCACTGCGGGAACGATGGTCACCAGCCCGAGTAATAACGGCAGCAACACGCGGCGAAAGCGGTGGGAGAGCAATGATTTTAAGCCGCGCCCGCGCCAAAGCATGGCCGTAAAAAAGCCGCTCAACACAAAGAACACCGGCATGCGGAAGCCGTGGATCGCGGCAAATAACAGCCAGAAGAAACCGCTTTGCCGCTCATCCTGAACCGGCCAGGGAAACGGCGTGAAGGACAACCCCGCGTGCAATACGATGCCGAGCAACATCGCCGTGGCACGCAGGGCGTCGAGGTCGTAGCGGCGCGGGTAAGAGCCTCTATTCACGTCGTGGACTACTCTGCCCTTCTCAACGTTCCTCCATCCTGCACGGCCTCGTAAATCTGGGCGAACTCGCGGCTGCCGTCGTCTTCGACGGGAAGGCATTCAGAGCCGCTTTCGCAGACGGGCATGGCGTCGCGGGGATATTCGTTGTGGAGATTCTGCTTGGAGCAGCCGTAGTAGGTGACTTCGCCGTTGGCGCGGGCGTAGCGATAGACGTGGCGAGGCGGATCGACCCAACTGTACTCCACTCGATATTGCTCTATGGCTTGGAGGTCAATCTCGATGCCGAGGCCGGGTTGTTCTGGAACTCGATAGTAGCCGCCGCGTAGTCTGGATGGGGTCGGCCAACAGTTGGCTCTCCCAGATGTTCATGCAGCTAATGGCCGGCCACTTGCTCTGGGGACAGACCGCGCCCAAGTGAGCGGCCCACGTGGTGGTGATGCCCGTGCCGACGAGCTGGAGCCAGAAGGGCTTGTTGGCCACGTCGGCGACAGCGGATTGCTGCGCGATGCCGTGGGCCCCAACGCCGACGACAAAACCGTCGGCGACGTCTTCTTGCAGGGTGGTGAGAATTGGCGGCGAGCCGTAGTGCATGGCCAGTGGGCGGCGGATGTGGTTGCGGATTTGGGCGTTGCCGGCCACGTCCGTTTGGGGGATCGGCGACTCAATCATGGCCACCTGTGGGTATTGCTCCAGGGTTGATAAAAATTCGACGGCACTGGCGGCGTTGGCGAGCGTGCCGTTGAAGTCCAAGTCGAGCTTGAACTGCGGGGGGACGGCCTCAATAATGGCTTGGATGCAGGCGTGCAGGTCGGACCAAGTCCGCGCCTTGAGCTTGGCGGTGGTATAGCCCTGCGCGACGGCGTCGGCGCACTGGCGCGCCCAGTCGGCGACCGGCATGTCCATCGCCCACCACGACAGTGGGCACCACGTGCGGACCTTGGTGCCCAACAGGCGATAAGCCGGGGCACCTAAGACCTTGCCAACCGCGTCGAAAAGCGCCTGCTGGACCCCAGCACCGAGCGCATCCTCCCACAGCAAATCGCCGACGGCACGGCCGACGATGCGGTCCTCGATGTCCTCGGGGACTTTGGCCCACGTGTAGTTGGGAATGGTTTCGCCCCAGCCGATGGTGCCGTCGGCGAGGGTGATTTTGCAGAGTTGGACGATGCGCCAATGCGGCAGCCAGTACTTCATGTGCTGATTGGTGTGGGTCGGTAAACGGAACGTCTAGGTGGATGAGTTCGACGGATTGGACTTGCATTGGGAACTCCTTTTGGAAGTGGTGGGGTGGGCTAGATGTACGGTGGGCTAAGCCAAGTGTCAAGGCGGGGAATGTGTTATATTGACGGCATGGAAATTCGCCAATTTGCCGAGCAGGTGCTATTCGGCACGCGCTGGGAAGACAAGCTCGTTGCCCTCGATTGCTACGAGGACCACGCGCCCGGGGCGGGGATTGCGACCCCCAATGCGCCGGGCCGCCCGCCCGGCTTGGGGCTGGACGAGTGGCACCATCGTGAGAAGCTCCGCTTCCGCGATGTGCGCCACTTCCACAGCGAAAAGGAAGCGGGGCTGGTCTTGCACTTTTTTGCCAACCACGAGTTGCTCGCCTTGGAGCTGATGGCACTGGCTCTGCTCAAATTTCCGCAGGCACCGGAGAAGTTTCGCCGCGGCTTGGTGCAGACGCTCAAAGACGAGCAAGAGCACGTGCGGCTCTACCAGCAGCGGATGCAGGCGATTGGGGTGGAGATTTGGCGAGATCCCGTCGGCGACTTTTTCTGGAAGGCCATCGGGCCGATGGAGACCCCGATGGACTTTGTAACGGGCTTGAGCCTGACCCTCGAACAAGCCAATCTCGACTACGCGCGGCACTACGCCCAGGTCTATCGGCAGTTGGACGATCCGGAGACCGCGGCGATTCTGGAGCGGATCTACCGCGACGAAATCGGCCACGTCAAACACGGACTGACGTGGTTTAGGCGCTGGCAGGAGGCCGGGATGAGCGAATGGGAAGCCTATCGTCAGACATTGCGCTTCCCGCTGGGGCCGGCGCGGGCCAAGGGCATTGGCTTCAACCGCGCAGGTCGGCTCCAGGCTGGGCTTTCTCGCGGACTATATCGACGAATTGGAGCTTGTTTTCGCAGTCGCGGGGACGCTGCCCGGCCGTGTATTGGTTCAACGCCAACTGCGAGGAGCAGGTGGCGTTGGGGCGGCCGGGTTTTACGCCGACGCGGCGGGTGGCCGAGCTGGAGGCCGACTTCCAAGCGCTGCCCATGCTGCTGTGTGCCCGCGACGACGTGGTGCTGCTGCGCGAGAAGCCTTCGGCGGCCTTTTTGCGGCGGATGCAGGAGCTGGGCTTGGCGATCCCGGAGTTCGTCGAGTGCAGCGCGGATGGCCTCGCGGCGCTTGCCGAGCGCAAGGTCAACGCGCTCAGACCTTGGGGCTGGAGTCCAGACAGCGCCGAGTTGCTTGCGCCTTTGGTCGCGGGCTTGCCTCGCGGCGGGGAAGGGCCTTGCTGGAGCAAGGCGATTCGGCGGCTCTATGCCAAGTCGTGGAGCGCGACGCGGCTGGGCGAATTTCTCGCGGTGGAGGAGGCGGACTATCTCTGCGGGACGGATGTAGTAGGTACGGCCTGCTCGACCGTGGAACAAGCCCTAGCGGAGATAGGACGCTTGGCGGAGGTGGGTTTTGACGCGGTGGTCGTTAAGGCCATCTACGGCTCTTCGGGCCGCGGCCAAATCCACTGCCGAGGAGGACAACTACGCGCGGAACAGCGCGGCCGATTGGAGAACATTTTGCGGCAGCAAGGCCAAGTGGTAGTAGAGCCGTGGCTCGACAAGGTGGTGGATCTTATCGCTGCACTTCGACGTGGGAGTGGAGGGTGCGGCGGCGGTGGCCGGCTGGACGCGATTTCTCACTGATGGACGCGGACAGTATCGCGGCTCGTTCGTTGGTTCGCTTACCGCTGGCCTCGACGAGGAAGTGAAGCGATTTCTCTACGGCGATGGCCGCGATGCACGCCGCTTGGCGCGGTTGGGTGAGCAGCTTGCCGAATGGCTCGCCGAGCCGTTGCGCGCTGCTGGTTATCAGGGACCGGTTGGCGTGGACGCCATGGTGTACCGCGATGGCGACTGTTTGCGACTAAAGCCGATTGTGGAGATCAATCCGCGCACGACGATGGGGCGGGTGGCGCTCAAGTTGCAACAGGCGGTTAATTCGGCGCGCACGGCCTTGTGGCTGGTGATTAGCCGCCGCGAGGTAACAGCGGCCGGGTTTGCCGACTTGGCTGAATGCGCCGTTGCGTTGGAGGCCGCGCATCCGGCCCGGATGATGCCCGATGGCAAGCAGTTGAGTGGCGGGGTGCTTTTTACGACGGATCCGGCTCAGGCCCGTTCTTTTGCTACCGTGTTGCTGGTCGGCGAATCGCTGGCCGAGTGTGAGGGGTACCTGCGAGAAGCGGGATTGGAATTGGCGCGTTACCAGAAGCTCGCGACCCTCCTTGCACAGCCGTAGCTCTTACCGATTACCCAGCGTCTTCCACTGAGCGGAGGAAGTCAACCACTCCTTGATGGCCCTCTCTTCTGCCAGACTCAAGCTGTGTAGTTGTAGCATTTTGGATGTGGATGTCTGCTCCGTTTTCGACGAGGAAACGCACCATCTCTGCATGCCCGAAAGCGGCGGCAAACATCAAGGCAGTTGTGCCGACATCTGTTTGGGCATTGACCGGGGCTCCGTTTTCTAGCAGCACGCGCGCCATCTCTAGGTCGTGCGCGAGGCGGCAAACATCAAGGCGGTCAGCCGTAATCATCTCGGCCATCGGCACTGTATTCCCACATCCAATGTTCCAATAAAAGTCGTACCACCTCGGCATGGCCTTGGTCAATGGCCAGCATTAAGGCATTACACCGATCTCTGGAGTAAATGGGCCAGGCGGTCGTAGGATCGCCATTTGGCTGTATAAACGTGAATATCGGCCCCGTTTTCTAGCAGGAAGCGGACCACCTCCAAGTGGCCGCCATAAGCCGCCAACATCAACGCCGTAGTTCCTGACCTCTTACCCAAGCGGCGACCAGGATTGAGCTGGACGCCGTACTCTAGCAGGAGGTTGACCACGTCTAGTGACCGCGATAGGCCGCCCACCCCAAGGCGAATCCTGGAGAATCGGAACGTCGATTATGTCCCCGTACTCTAGTAGGAGATTGACCACATCCAAATGGCCGTTATAGGCCGCCCACATCAAGGGAGTGTAGGGGCCGTATTCGTAAGAATAGAGGAAACCAAGTGGGCTCACATCGGCTCCGCTATCGATGAGGAAGACGACCACCGCCAAGTGGCCGCCCGCGGCGGCAAACATCAAGGCATTTTGGTCCTGCCTGTTGCGGACATCGAGGTCCGCCCCCTGCTCAACCAAGAACCGCACCACCTCTATGTGGCCTTGTCCGGCGGCCTTCATTAGGGCGGTATCGTTATCCTCGTCCCCGTCTTGGGGAAACCACACGGCCTCCAGATCATCCAACTGCTCTACATCCTCCTGTGTTGGTATATAGACACTGGAGGAGCTATAGGGTCGGACGTTGACATCCAAGCCAGCCTCAACAAACAACCGCACCACATCCAGATCCCGTTTTGTGCGTAGGTAACGAAGGAGCGTTGGTATAGGGAATGCCTCGCTCAGCCACTCGCTGCGAGCCTCCCCCCGGCTCCTAGTTGGATCTCTTCGGGATTGGCTAGTTCGTAATAAGGTCCGAGGGCAACGAAGGCTGGATTATTCAATTCGGTGATGAGGGTTTCGATATTGGATCCATCCAAGTTGGCGCGCTGGATGCGACTTATAGCCATACATCGCCATTATTCACCGTACATCTTGCCTCTAGACACGTCCAAGGCGAGGCCGCTGGGTGTATCTTAATCTGTGAGAGGGTTTCGATGTTGGATCCTTCCAAGTTGGCGCGCTGGATGTTAGCACCGTCCCAGTTCGTCCAGTATATCTTTCCCCCATCCACGTCCAAGGCGAGGCCGTATGGGTATCCAATACGGTGGTAGAGGGTTTCGATGTTAGCCCGTCCAAGTTCGCACGCTGGATATTTTAATTGAACGCGTCCGTCCAGTATATCTTGTTCCCATCCACGTCTAAGGCGAGGCGAAATGCCGCAGCCTCGGTAATGATGAGGGTTTCGATGTAGGATCCATCCAAGTTGGCGCGCCGAACTTTGCCTTCAAAGCTGACAAACCCGCTGTTGTCCGTCCAGTATATCTTGTTCCCATCCACGTCCAAGGCGAGGCCGGATATGCTGCGCCCGGTAATAATGAGGGGTTCGATGTAGGATCCATCCAAGTTGGCGCGCTGGATTTTACGCCTTCCGTTCGTCCAGTATATCTTTCGCCCATCTATGTCCAAGGTGAGGCCGGACGGCTGGAATAGATAGTTCCCTATGACGAGGGTGTCGATGTTAGAACCGTCCAAGTTAGCGCGCTGAATTTTATGCGTACTCGGCTCCGTCCAGTATATATGCGACAAGGTGGTGTCCTGCATCCACGGAAGTTCGCTTACTGAAGACACCAAATCCGGGGCGGCTTGGCCGATCCCCGGCGGCAACGCGGGATCGGACGGATTGACGCTGTACGTGGCGAGGAGCACGGCGTCGGCGAGATCGACTTGGCCATCGCCGTTGACATCGCCGAGAGAAATGTCGCCGTTGTTGGGGAGCGTAATAGACGAATCCTCGCTGTACAGCAGCACATACAGCGCATCGAAGGCATCGACTTGGCCATCGTTGTTCACATCGCCTAAAATCCTGTCCGTAGTGAGCTTCATCCGCGGACTGCCGCCGTGCTCTTCGATCACAATGTCCGCCTCATCAACCCCCACCGAAAAGCCGGGTCCACATACGCGACCAAACCCTCGCCCGAAACGGTCAGCCCATAGACCGAGCCATCCGCTTCCACCGCACCTCTCCACGCCCGCACCGGCCCCTGAGCCGCCGCTCCCACCGCCGGAATCCCCGCCTGCCCATCCACCAACACCATCCGCCGACTCTCCGTCATTCCGCCGCTGCTCAGCCGGTAGATATACACCCCCGCTCCCACGGCCCGCCCCGCCGCATCCGTCCCATCCCATTGCGTCGTATGCGTCCCCGCCGACCGTTCCGCATCGACTAACGTGGCCAGCCGCTGCCCCAGCACATTGAACACGTCCAGCCGCACGTGGCCCGCCGTCGGCAGTTGGTAGGGAATGATGGTGGAGGGATTGAACGGGTTGGGGTAATTCTGCCCCAGCGCAAAATCGGTCGGCAGAGCCGTGCCCCTGTCGTAGAGAATCGCTCGCAGCGGCAGCGCAAAATGTCCGGTCTCGTCCGTGGCCGTGCCGACGAACCGGCGCAGATCGGTCAAATCAAACAGCCGCACCTGCACCCCAACCGTCGGCTGCCCAGACGACAGCCGCACTCGCCCCTCAAGCAGCGGCTCCGCGCCGACGTGAACGCTCAACACCAGTCCGATGAGACCGCCGATCAAAGACTTCATAGGGTCAATTCCTTATAAAAATGGGATGCTGATTAAAAAGGTTCCGTTTCGGCTACCTATCAAGTAGCAATAAGTTAATAGTCGACAAAAGGTTAGCGCGTCGCCAACAGTTCCTCTATCTCAGGCGGGAAACCGCGATGCCCGTCGCGGTTGAGGCTGGTGCCGATGAGGCGGCCGTGCAGCACGTGTGCGCCGTCGGCTTCTCTGAAGATATCTTGGACAAAGCAAAAGCGCAGGCGGCTCTCCCGCTCCAAGCGCAGCTCGACCGTGAAGCGGTCGCCGCTTCTGAGGGGGGCCTTGTAGTCGATTTCAGCGCGGGTGAGGACCAAGTCGTGGCCCTGTTCGTGGAAGCGGGCAAAGCTGAGGCCGAGGCTTTGCAAATACTGGTGGCGGGCGTGTTCGAGGTAGTTCTGGTACACGGCGTTGTTGACGACGCCTTGGAGATCGCATTCGTAGTCGCGGACGGCTAGGGTGAGCGTGAAGTCGGGAGGCTGTGCTGGCATGTTTTGTCGTCCTGTGGACAAGAGCGGTGCCGCTGCTTGTTGGATTGGGGGGACTTGGCTATTTTGTGCCCCGCGAAAGGAGAGCAATCCATGCTAAAAATATCCGCTTGGCACGGCGATTTGTCGGAATCGTATCTGCGCTACGTCACCCAACTCGGGGTCGATTGCTTGGACTTTGGCGCGGGCGACTACTTCCCCGGGGTCAAAGAGCAGGGCTATCCCGACTTGGACGCCGTGATAAAAATAAGAAAAAAAATCCGTTCTTGGGGGCTAGACTTCAACCGCGTGACCCTGCCGGACATAACTGAAAAGTTCATGTCTGGAGAGGACTGGCTGCGAGAAGGAGTTGGAAAACACGGCCGCGGCGCTGGAGGTTTTTGCCGAGGCCGGCGCGCCCATTGCGCGGCAGCGATTCCACGGCGATGTGTTCCCCTGGATGCTCACGGCGCTGGAACTCGCCGCGGCGCGGCGGCTACCACTACCGGGCCGAAAGCCGCGGCTTGGTCGAGAGCGATCAAGGCCCTCCCCTCGCCCGAGGCGTTGGATACGTGGTGGGCGCGCTTTTGCACTGTGTACGAGCGCTTGGTGCCCATTGCCGAAGACCGCGACATCAAGCTGGCGATCCACCCGTCGGACTCGCCGCTGCCGGATACGCCGTTGGGCGGTTTGGGTTTTCACAAGGTCATCGACGCCTTCCCCAGCCGCCAAGTTGGGTACCTCTACTGCTGCGGCACCCGCGCCGAGGCCGGGGGCTTGCCCTTAGTGCTCGACGAGATCCACAACTACGGGCGCAAGGGCCGGATTTTCATGGTGCATTTGCGCAATGTGCGCGGGAGCTTGGCCACGGCCGGGGGATTTGAGGAAACCTTGCTCGACGACGGCGACATGAATATGGCCAAAATTCTGCTGGAGTTGGACCGGGTGGGTTTCGACGGGTGCATCAACCCCGACCACATTCCGGCGCTAGAAGGGGATGAGGGGACACTGACGCGGGGGTTGGCGTACTCGGTGGGGTACATCAAGGCGTTGTTTGCCGCGTTGGCGGCAGTTAGGTAGGAAAATGGAAATGAGCAAAAAGAAAATCGCGGCGATCATCACCGAATATCGCCCTAGGTCGCACGCCGACGTGATCGTCTCCAAGTTCCTCAAGGGATTTCCCACGGACGAGGGCTTGTGCGCGCCGAGGGTCGAGATCGCGTCTATGTATATCGACCAGTTTCCCGAAAGCGATATGGGACGGGCGATGGCCCAAGAGCATGGGGTGCCGATTTTTCACAGCATCCCGGCGGCGCTGTGTCTCGGGGGACAGGAGTTGGCTGTGGATGGGGTCTTGTCCATTGGCGAGCACGGGGATTACGCCTGGAACGAGAAGGAACAGCAGCTCTATCCGCGACGCTACTTTATGGAGCAAATCTGCGGGGTGATGGCGACGTCGAAGCGAGGGGTGCCGGTGTTCAACGACAAGCACTTGTCCTATAGCTGGACTGATGCGCTGTGGATGTACCAACGGGCGCAGGCGGTGGGAGCGGCGTTTATGGGGGGATCTTCGCTGCCGGTGTGTTGGCGGCAACCTTGGGTCGAGCACGAGTTGGAAACCCCTGTGGAGGAGGCGGTGGCGATTGGATTTTCCGGGCTGGATATCTACGGGTTCCACACCCTCGAAGTGCTCCAGTGCATGGTCGAGCGGCGGCGGGGAGGCGAGACGGGAGTGGCCGCGGTGACTGTTGGAGGGAGAGGCCGTGTGGCGGGCCGCTGATGAGGGATTGTGGTCGCGGGATCTGGCGGAGGCTGCTTGCGCGACGATTGTCGATAAGCCCGAGGGGACGATGGAGGAGCACTGCCAAAATCCGGCGCTTTTTGTGGTGGAATACAGCGACGGATTGCGGGGGGCCGTGCTGATGCTCAACGGCTACGTCCACGACTTGGCGTACGCGGCGCGGGTCGGCGGCCAGGTGCAAGCCTGCGAGTTCCACGCCCAAGGGCACGGCGGGCAGGAAGGGGCGTATGCGCATTTCAGCTACCTGTCGCTCAACGTCGAAGAGATGTTCCTGAGCGGCGAGGCCCAGTATCCGGTCGAGCGCACACTGCTGACCAGCGGCATTCTCGAGGCGGCGCTGACTTCGCGCTACGAGGGGCACAAGCGGCTGGAAACGCCGTGGCTGGACTTGGAATACCAGTCGTATGATGCGTTCAGGTGGCGACCGAGTGGACCGCGGCCGACCGGAGCTTGTTTGGACCCGTGGCCGCCTTCTTAACCAATACATAATCCAAGGAGAGATACCATGATGCAACGTCTCGCCACAATCGCGCTGGTCTTGGCGGCGGCACTGCTTTCGCCCAAGAGCCGATGGGCGATCCGTCGATTATACCCGCAGGGCCAAGCTCGAAGTGCTCTTCGACGGCGCGTTCTTTTCCGAGGGGCCGGCCGTGGCCCCGGACGGCTCGGTTTTCTTCAGCGATATTACCTTTTCCAAGCCCTCGGGGATGCAGGCCGGGCACATCTGGCGCTACGATCCCCAGACCGGCACGACCGCGGTCTACCGCTCGCCCAGCGGCATGTCCAACGGCCTCAAGTTCGACGCGATGGGCCGGCTGATCACCGCTGAGGGCGCTGATTTTGGGGGGCAGCGCGTGACGCGCACCGACCTTGCAACCGGCAAGACCGAGATCATCGCCGGGTTGTACGAGGGCCGCCCCTTCAATTCCCCCAACGACATTTCCATCGACGAAAAGGGCCGCATCTACTTCAGCGACCCACGCTATCTGGGGCACGAGCCGATTGACCAGCCGGTGATGGCGGTGTACCGGATTGACCCGGACGGCACTATCGAGCGGATCATCACTGACGCCGGCAAGCCCAACGGCGTCTGCGTGTCCCCGGACCAGCAGTCGCTCTACGTGGTGAGCAACGACAACGGCAATACGGGGATCTTCCGCTTGGAAGGCACGCCCGCGCACAAGGGTCGGATGGCTCTGTTGGCGTACGACTTGCATCCCGACGGCACGGCCACATTCCGCGAAGTGCTGGTCGATTACTATCCCGAAGACGGGCCGGATGGCTTAGTCGCTGACGTTGACGGGAACTTGTACGTGGCGGTGCGCGACGTGACGCGCCCGGGCATTGTCGTGTACTCGCCTAGTGGCGAGGAACTGGCCTATATCCCCACGCCCGAAGTTCCGACCAACACGGCGTTTGGCCGCGGCGAGGAGAGCAAGACGCTCTACGTCACCTACGGAGGAGGCGCGCCGCCCGAAAATCCAGGCATCTTGGCGAAGATAAAAGTCGGCAAGGACGGATACCACCTGCCAGCTCCGTGATGCGATGACCGCATTAGACTGGGCCGTCGTCTTGGTCCTCAACGGCGGCATCGTCGCCTACAGCCTGATCGCCTTCCGCAACAAGGGCGAGAGTTTCGACTGGTACCTTGCGGCCAAGTCCATGCCTTGGTGGATGATTGGGCTGTCGGCGTTTGGCACGGCTGTCGATAGCGGCGATTACGTCGGCATTGTCGGCGGATCCTACAACCTCGGGCTGTCGCAATTGGCGCAGTGGTGGTTGGGCATTGCCGTGGGCTGGACCGTGCTCAGCTTCTCTCGTCATCGTGCCGATTGTCACGCCGGGGGTTTTTACCAACGCCGAGTGGCTGGAGTTCCGCTTCGGGCCGGCGGCCCGCCTGCTAGCGGTCTTGATCAACGTCCAATCGCGCACCAACGTGCTGGGCAACATTTTCTTTTCCATGTTCCTGGTGCTGAATGTCATCACCGGAATTGAGGCGGAGACGACCTGCTGCGTTCGGTGGTGGTGGGCGTGAGCGACTACGAGCTCGGTGCTCACATCGCTGCGCGGCGCGCTGCTGAGCCGGGGTGCTGACCGACGAGCGCATACAAAGCGCGACGATGATCGTGGCCGCTTTTGGCTCTGGGATTCGTCTATCGGCGCTCGGTGGCGGTGGGACGGAGGTGGCGAGCGGGAGGAGGCTGTGGCGAAGAAGGCTGTCGGATACGCTGCTGCAAGTGCTATTCGCCGCCGACGGTGTGTGCATTCATCGTGATATGCGAGCTTTTTGGTCGGTGTGGACTACGTAACGCGGTCCATCAACCAGTAGACGACGGCCATACGCATCTCGGCGCCCGCTCGGAGTGGGCATTCAAAATGCCGCGCTGGTTGGTTACGCCAGCATGGCCACGGCGATCTGCCTGTTCTCCATGGCCGCGTGGTTAGCCAGCATTGCCACCGGACGATCAGACGTCTCAACGTCAGTTGACCGATGGCGCGGGCGGGCGAAAGTTTCCCGGCCTCTAGAAGCATGGTCGATCAGGAGCCTATCGACCCTGATGTGAGATTCCAAGCGGTACCTACCCGCGGGATTGGTCGGGCGGTGGTCGCCGGGCTGGTGGCGGCTGGGTACTCGACCTTCGATTCCATCGGCATTGGATTTCCTCGCTCTTCGTGCGCGACGTGTACTGGCGCGCTTATCGTCAAGGGACGCCACGGACGCGCACTACACCAAGGTGTGGGCGGATATCGTGCGGTTATTCTGGGCTGGGTTTATTTATGTGCCCTTTTGGGCGAGAAGGGGATGCTGCTGTTTCGTATCTGCGGTGGCCGGGCCATTGCCGTGCCGCTGATGACGGTCATTTGATGGGGGTTTTTCACGAGAGTACACCGCGAGACCGGGATCATCGTTTTGCTGTTGTGGCTTGGCTACGGAATGTTCGCGATTTGGCCTATTTCAAACGAGTGGCGCTGCCGGTGTGGTACCAGCATGACTTTCTTCCACTTTATTAGACGACGCGAGCAGGAGAAGGACGGGGGGGGAAGCAGGAAGTGGCCTAAGGAGAGCGACAGACGAGGCGAGCCATTCTTAACATGAGAGAGGGAGAGACAGAGGGATGAAAAGGGCAGATCTAGTTCCCGATTCTCCGTCTGCCACCGTTAATTCCGGCGCACTCGAGGCGGGTGCAGCGCGGCTCGTTGCTCTGTACTGCCTCTTGCTTCT